CCCGCAGGGGCTCCCGTGTGGACTGTGGCGGGCACGCTGGTCAGAGACACAGTGCATCCCCGGGTGGTGGAGAAGGGGGAGACTTCAGCTGGATCAAAGGAAATGGGGGGAAAAGAAGGAGTCCCGCATTCCTGGACCCAGAGTGGAGCCCCTGCTGGGCGGGGCCGAGCTAGAAAAGTAAGAAACTGGGGGCACAGGAGCTGGCTTTCGCCCCTGTGCTCTCCCCAGTTAGTTCCCCGGGTGAGGATTTGGGGCAGGTCTTGGTTTAATCGGTGAAAACTAAATGACTCGAAGGATCTCGGTCCTTTCGACAGGGAGGCTGCACGTCCGGGCTGGGTTTCCGTGAAGACCAACCCTCCCGCGCACAAGCAGACTCCCGCCCACATCCCTGCCGCCGTCCCCCTCCACGTGCATCGGAGGGCCCGCGCACAGGCCCGAGGGACCCCCCAGTCGCCTGGGCTGGTCAGTGTTCTGGGCTGGTCGGCGGCCGAAGTTTCGTTTCATGAGGCGGCTCGTTTTCTAACCACGAGCAGAGCGCAGCTTGAAGAGGTTCCCAGCGACAGACAGGAAAACGGGTGCCCCGAGGACCCAGGCAGAACCACGGCACCTGCACTGCCTTCCCCTCTACCGGGTCTCCGCCTCTCCCGTGCGCGCTGTGCTCAAGCAGGTGCCGCGATCGCGGATCTGACCACAGACACGACCCTGTTCAAAATCCCCGTCACCTTCAGCACAGCGCCCCGGCTCTCCCCAGGGCAGGGCAGGGCAGGGCAGGGCGGGTCCGCTCCCTCTGGTCCCTGCCCGCCTCTCCGGCCACTTCCCAGGCCCCTCTCGCTCCCTGGTGGTTCCCTCCACCTGTCTCCTGTCTCCGAGTGGGGCCTGAACACCTGAGGCCCCACCCCACTGGCCCCAGACACGAACCTTCCCCCTGAGAGTTCCTCCACAGCCCCGGGGCCCCTCCTGGACTCCCTGCCCTCCCCCTCCCCTCCTCTGTGACAGCACTTCAACCTCTCCAAAAGTCGGGGTCATGCCCTTTACCTCTATCTCCAGGACCTAACACAGCTGGCCGTCACTGCCTGCAGCCCCCACCCAGGGTCGTCCCTGATGCCTCCCCACAGCCCCCGCCGATGCCCCCGCCCCAGGTGCCCTTCCCTCACCTTCACCTTCACCTTCACCGGAGGCAGCTTGTCCTCCCCCCACGCAGGCCCTTCCGCCCCGGCCAACAGCCCCACTTCCCAAGAGCAGAGCGAGCCCGCGAGCCCTCCAACCAGACTCACAGGACGTCGGAGCTGGAGGGGGCCTCAGGGGCTCCCGGGTGGGTTCGGCGGCTCCCGGGTGCCCATCTGCGGACGGCTGCCGGGCCGTCTGCAAGAGAACACCACGCGGCTCTGGAGCGCAGCAGCCAGCAGCCAGCCTGAGAGTTCTGACCCCGCAGGTCTGGGCCGGCCGGACCCCTGCGCTCGTCCGAGCTTCCCCCTTGACCCTGGCCCTCCGACCCGGCCCAACCTCCGCACCTGATGCGGGCAGAACTGAGTCTCAGCGACGAGGGCCACCCGTCCGAGGTTGACCAGGCACCGAGACCGCCGCCGCCTGGCACTAAGGCCCCACTGTTCCCGAGTCCTCGCCCCGCCCCACTGGAGACCCCGGCAGCCACGCCTCAGCGGTGCTGCTGAAGACTCACCCAGCACAGGCGTCCCGCAGGGTCAAGGAGGAGGCAAGGAGGGCTCCCCTGCCCGCCCGGCCGCCAGCCACCCGCCTGCCTCCGCGGGGCCGGGTCTTCCACCTTTGCTGCGGCTGCTGCGGGGAGACCTTCTGCCCTCTGCTGTTTCATAAGCCCCCACCCACCCCCACACGGGCACCCACTGAACTACTACTCAGCATCCCTGAGATTCCAGATGGGGGTGTGTCCTGAGACAGGCGACCCGGGCCTGCTCTGTCCCCAACCTAGCCCCCAACTTCCTCCCCGGGTTCCTCGTTTCCTTTCAGGAAGGGGCAACTCCATCCTTCCGGGGGCTTGGGCCACATCCTGGGAGTCCTCGAGTCCTCTCCCCTCCGTGCCGGCTTCTGGTCCGCAGGCAAACCCTGGGAGTCCGCCCCCAAACTAGACCCACGCAGGCTGTTCCCAGTGGCCTCTGCCACCCCTCCTCCCCTGACCGACCCCCCACGACCGCCGCCGCCGGCTGCCCTCCCTACTTGCCCTCCACAGAGCGGTCCGAGGGCCGCCCGTCACAGCTGTCAGCTCGTGCCGCCCCCACGGTCCCCCACGTCACACGGAACGAAACCTGGCCTTTACCACGGCCCACCTGCAGGGGGCGTGGGGGGGCGGTTTAACTGCCCTCCTGTCCTTCCACTGCAGCCACAGCTGGGCTCCCGCTGCCACCCAGGCATGCCGGACACCCGGCTCAGAGCCGGAGTGTGCCACACGCCCTCTGCTGGGAACCTCCCCCCACCTCCGCCCCTCCGAGCCGCCTTGTTCTTCCTCACGGCGCGTCCCACCACCGGGCCCGTGTCTCCACCGCCTGCTCGCAGGCTGCGGTGTGCTCGCTGGACGGGACTCCACTGCTGGAAAGGGACAGAGGCTCGACACCTCCCCCGCCCAGAACTAGGACGGGTCAGGGACACGCACTGACTCCTGAAAGGTTTACCGCCACTCAAGCAGTCGGCAGATGTGCACTGTCGTTGGTGTTCAACGTTTAATGTCTGTGCATCCTGGCTCCTGCAGGGTGCTTGAGTGAAACATTCCGCTGGTGCGAAGTGCGCACTGGCCAGTGTGCCCGCAATACGGCCGTCTGTCTCGAGGAGGGATCGGGGTGATGCCGGGGGGGGGAGGGGGCACCGGGGCCACAGCTCCGTGAAAGTACTAAAGACCACTGCGCTGTGCACTCTAAATGAGCGAACTGTACGCCCTGGGAGTTTTGTCTCAATGGAGCTGTTATAAAATAAAAAGGAGGAAAAGGGGACAGGACGGGAGGGGGCTGGGATCACGCAGGGCTGCAGAGCTGAGCGAGACGCTGCGATGCTGCGAGCGGAAGCCAGGAAGAGGCAACAAAGTTGCACCAGAGCTGAGAACCGAGGTGCAAGTGGACACACTGTAACCAGCGCCCCCCTTACCTCCTGCTGACACACAGGTCTCGGCACTAACTGGGCGCCGAGCCTTGTTAGAGGGAACAACACCCCCAGACTCAGACGGAAAGGGCGGCAGGACGCCTCTTGTTCAGAGGGGCCCCTCCCGCTGACCTGTGTCGAAGTATCACCTCTGGGTGGTGGGGACTCCCGACTTGAAGCAAGAAGCCAGCAGCCTCGGGCCTGCTGGGCACCGAGCCCCCGCTCCCTGACCAAAGGGCCCCCAGAGCTGGAACGTGGCTATCCCACGGGGCCGCTCCTTCCCCATCGCTGGCACCCGTGTGCCTGGTGGCTCCCAGGTGCCACAGTCTCGTCCGCCACAGGCAGACTGTGCTCCCAAGGAGTCCAAACTCGAAAGGTTTGGGGGGACACGAGGAGCAGGCTGCTAGTCTCGGGGTGTCCCCGTGGTCCCCTCAGACAGCTTCAGGAGGTTAGGAGCTGGCACAGGCTCTGCCTCCCAGGTGCTCTGTCTCTCCCTCCCCTTCGCTTCCCCTCCTTCCGGGCTCTCCACACACGTCCACGCACTCTTCTCCTTCCCCGCCCTCGGCACCCCCCGTCCTGTCCTCTGCGCCCGCCTACCCTTCCCTCCCCGCTCTCTCTCCCCCTGCTCTTCTTCACCTCCCCTCCCCCTCCCTCCTCTCACCCTCCCCGCTCTCAGCTGAGATCGAGGCGGCCTCTTCCGTGACGGCTGCCCGGACCTCGGGGCAGCCGGTGCTCTGCCGGAGAGCCGGGCCTTGGCCACGGCAGCCATCCACCCGCCACCCAGAACGGAGACGGAGGTCCCGCTCTGTGTCCACCACGCAGGTCCCTAGAGACCCGCGGGAACAATCGGGAACGAAGGAGCCAAAGGAACATCCCTGCACACACACACACCCCCCCCCCCCCGGCCACCAGACAAAACGAAGTGTCCAAACCCTCCTGTTTTCAAGACACATCATGGGATATTCACAGGTAAAACGGTGTGATGTCTGGAGTCGGGGTGAGGAGCCCGTGGAGAGTCACCGGAGCGTTTTCCCGACACCCGTGCACTGAGGCACAGCGCGCACCGAGGTTACGCCCACCAGGAGGTCTGTTGTCATCCAGAATAGGAAAGGAAAAAAAAAATCCCAGAAACCAACAAGCGTCAGTGGGCACGTGGAGACACTGTTCACTGCTGGTGGGAATGTTTTTAAACGGTGTCAACACCACCAGAAACAGCATGGTGGTTCCTCGGAGAAAGGAAACGTAGAATCACCCCACGATCCAGCAACTCCTCTTCGGGGCCCAGACCCGAGAGACGCGGAGGCGGGGTCTCAGAGGTATTTGCATACCGTATCGCAGCAGCACGAGTCACCACAGCTCAAGGGTGGAATCAAACCTGACTGTCCATCAACCAATCAGTGGACAGACACGATGCGCTATAGACAGACACTGGAATATTATTCAGCCCTGAAAAAGGGAATAAAGACTCGACACAGGCTAAGCGTGGGTAAACCTTGAGGACGTTAAGCTAAGGGAAATAAGCCAGTCACAGAAGGGCAAATGCTATCAGGTTCCACTCACAGGAGGCAGCTACAGTGGTCAGATTTGGAGAGACAGGAAGTAGAGGGTGGTTGCCGGGGATGGGGGGAGGGGGAGGGGGAGGGAGAGAAGGTCACGTTTAATGGGCACAGGGCTTATGCTGGGGAAGACGAAAAGGTTCTGGAGGCGCATGGTGGTGTGAACGTACTGAATCCCCCTGAACAGCACTAAAAAAAGGTTAAAATGGTCCGTTTCATTATGTGCATTTTACTGTAATTTAAAATAACAGCTACCAAGGAAAAGCAACAACAACAAAAACATCACTGGTGTCCAGACCCTCAGCTCTCGAGGGCCAGCGCGGCCCATCCGCGGCACCATACCTGGGGGCGGCTCTCAGAAGGAGGGCGTGGGGAGCCGTGCTGGGGGTGCAGAGCTGCGGAGGAAGGGACGGCTGCTACCTAGGCACATGGTCCGCAGTCCAAACACCACCTACGGAAAGAAAAGAAACAAAGTTGTTTAGCAGGCTTGAAGTGCGTTAAGATGGTAATAATAGCAGTAACAGAGTACATCAAACCCTGAGGAAAGCCTCCGGCATAAACTCAGCCAAAGACGACCCTCGCCCCGGCCCCAGGCCTGGCCTCCTTCCCCATCACAGTGGGGATGCATCGGAGCGCAGACTCGGCCCAGGTTCAAACCCTGGTTCTGCTGCTTTCCAGCCACGCGACCTCGGGCAGGCGTGTGCACGTCTGTGTCTGTGCCCCGACAGGTGAGCAGGTGTTACGGAGATTAAACGAGCTGACCTCTGTCGGGCTCTGGCTACAGTGCCTGACACAGAGCAAGCCCGTGTTGGTTCACGACGAGGCCACCAACCGCGGCGGCCAGCAGCCCGTCTCTCACGGCTGCGCGGCGGGTCCTGGCAGACTGCTGAGCCTCCAAGCGGCAGGCTGACTGGACGGGTGCCCGAGGGACAGGGGCCGGGGGCCCGGGGGCCGGCACCCGCGGCGCACGGCTCGCCCGCCCGCCCGCCAGCCCGCAGAGGCCTGCTGAAGCGCAGGACGCACGGGTCAGGGAGCAGCGTGGGGCCGGGGGCAGGTGAGCGGGGGACCCACAGGTGGGGAGAGGCCGGGGAGGGACAGCACTGGGCAGGTGAGGCAGAGAGACGGCGAGGGGGCAGCTGGCAGAACCCCTTCTTAAAACCTGGTGGTCCCCGACCGTGGGCGAACATCAGAGCCCCCTCGGGCACTCTGGAAACGGCGGGCTCTCGGCCACAAGCCCCGAGACCCCGATTTAAGCAGCCAGTGTTGGCGGGGGGCCCGGTGGATGGTCGGGCACGGGGACCCACGGGTGACAGAACCAAAAGCTCCCCCTCTACTTCTGCTCACTCGCTCGCCCTGCACTCCTCACGCCCAACCTCACGTCCGTCTTCACTTCGACAGACCGGCACTGGGTTCGGATTCTGGATAGAGATACAGACGACGTTCAAGGAAAACCTAGAGGGGAAGGAACGAAAACTCCTGATCCCAACTCTACAGAAGGGAAATAGGAAAAAAAAAAAAAACAAACCAACAACTTATTTCCCCCTGAAGTGTTTCCTTTTCTTCTTCCCACCGTCACATTCCGGAATACAGACGCACACGCGGACGGTGTGCTGCCCGCACTCACACAGGAGTCAGAGAGCAGGGGCCGCGGCGGGGGGTCTCGGAACCGCTGTCCCGAGTGAGGGAGGGAGTTCCCAGCCTCCCAGGGAGCCTGGCTGGTGGTTTGTCCAGGGCGAACCTTGGCTCCTGCGGCCACTGCTTTCTGCCGCCTCTTCGAACCGTCTCCGGTGCCAGAAGCACAGTCCGGCTGCAGAGAGGAGCTGGCACACTGGAGCACCCGGCTTCGCCGACCCTGGCCGGCGGCCTCTCCCGGGCCCCACACACGGGCACACCCCGAGGTCTGGGAGCCCGACAGTGCGCAAAACGCTCTCCCCTCTTCGCAGGGGACAGGCCAGGGTGTGGCGCGGCCAGGACCGGCTCTCGGGGCCCCGCACGCCTCCGGGGCCGTGCAGCCTGCCACCCGCGAGTCTGACCCAGGAGGTCAGATTTCCCATTTCCGATTTCCCGACAGCCTCGCTGTCCCAAGCCGCCGCGGCAGGTGGCACGGGCTCTCCCACCGTGGGGTACGGAGACAGCCACTGTGGCCTTTGCCACAGTTGTGACACACCTGCGGGGGTTCAAAGACCAAGGTGAGGAGACGGCGTCCCAGATCGTTGTTCTAGCTCGGCGGCTCTCCCAGTAACCAGAAAGACGAGGTACCGCCAGAGCCGAGGAGACCCCAGGAGACCACTGACCGGAAGGAGATCGAGCACACATGCGAACTGAGGACCCAGGACGGGAAAGACGCTCCGCTCGTTGTTCCTGGAGGGGCAGGCCCTGCCCAGCCTTCTCCGAGGGGCTGAAGCTTCCAGCTCGCGGCCACCGCCCACATTTCCCCACCAAACACCAGGCACACGGCTTATTTCACTAACCCTCCGACCCGTGACGCGACCCCTGGACGCACCTCTGGGAGCAATACTGACGCCTAAGCCCACCTCACACCAGTCAAACCAGAGTCTTTGGGGGTGAGGGTCAGGCGTTTTTTTAAAAAATCACCCACGTGTGGGATGCTGTCTGGGGCTGAAAACAACTGGCCTCCAAAATCGCCCCAAAAGCTACATGATGCACACTTGGGGGCCTGGGCTCGGGAACGGGGCAGCCCCAGGGACTGGGACACGGAGAGCCAGCCAGCGGTCAGAGGACAGGGGCGTGGAGTGCGTCCCCGAGGTCAGGAGTGTGCTCTAGCTGACCCCGGAGCCCTGAGCCCCACCCCCACACACAGCTGGCCCGGGAAAGGCTCTCAGATGATTCCAGCTCCGATGCCCACTCTTAGCTGAGAGCTGAGCCCGGCTGCTTCCGCCCCCGGCAGCCCGGGCCACCCTCCCAGATGAGGCAGGGTCCGCCGTGCCCTGCACAGCCCCACGCGGTGCTCCGGCTCCCTGGCTCCCTCGTGCCGGGGCCCGGTGGGACCGCCCATCCCCCCGGCCCCGCCTGGCCCTCCTCACTCCCAGCCGCAGCCACACTCACCTCCTCGCTGTTCCATCAACTCCCAGCGTTCCCCGGCTTCCAGCCCCTCCCTCAGCTATCTGCGGAGCTCCCTCTCGCCTCCCCCAGCCCTCCGCTCAGACGTCTCTCAATCAATCAGTGGGGCTGCCCGGACTTCCCTCCCCACCCAGCCTCCCCGCCCTCCGCCCCTGCTTTGTTCCTGTCCAAAACACTTTCCACCACCTGTCGGACTTGATGTTTTACTTACTGCCTGTAAGCCCACACGCACCCGAAGAGGAGCTCCATGAAGGTAAGCTCTTTTCCTTCTTTCATTCCCTGTTACATTCCTGGTTCCTCGGAAGTGCCCAGCATGCAGCGGCCACTCAGATATTTATTCTAGAAATGAATGCATTATCCCCGGCCAGGTGGCTCAGTTGGTTGGAGCGTTAAACCATACACCAAAAGGTTCCGGGTTTGATCCCTGGTCAGGGCACCTACAGAGGGCAACCAACCGATGTTTCTCTCTTGCTCTCCGCTTCCCTCCCTACCTTCTTCTCTTTCTCTCTAAAGATCAATGAATATGTCCTCAGGTGAGGATTAAAAAAAAAAATAGAAATGGCCCTGGCTGGTGTGGCTCAATGGATTGAGCGCCAGCCTGTGAACCAAAGGGTGGCCGGTTCGATTCCCAGTCAGGGCACATGCCTGGGTTTCGGACCAGGTCCCCAGTAGGGGGCGCATGAGAGGCAACCACACATGGATGTTTCTCTCCCACTCTTCCTCCCTCCCTTCCCCTCTCTCTAAAAAATAAATAAAATCTTTAAAAAAAATAGAAATGTACACAACAGAAACACTGATCTAAAAAACACACCTTGCACCAAAAGATCGTAAGGAGCTGATTGTGCCAAACTCACTTCTCCGCTAATCTCATCTTGGCAAAAGCCGTTCTGAAAGCAGGCTAGCAGCCTAGTGAAACAGAAACCACTTAAAAATAATAAGTATTTCCAGTCAATTAAACCAATCCAAATGGGTTTGTGAGTCAAAGACGATTTGTTCTAAGAAATAGATAAAAACTTGGGCGACAGAAAGCGGGGATGAAAGGTGGCCGGACACACGGGGTTCGGGCGCCACCCTGGATGTGGGGGGTCCGGGGGGGAGCTCTGCGAGCGCTCACAGCCACTCTCGGACAGACCAGGAGGAGCAGGCGGGCTCCTGGCCCGGGTTGCCGTCGGAGACGCAGGCCCAGTGAGGAGGCCCCCGCCCTGCACCCCACCCAAAGCCACGGACAGAGCTTTAAGCCCCACCGGGCTGGGAGCCCTGCAAACCTTCGCACAGCAGCCGGGCGCCTCCGGCCTCCATCACATCTCGCTGATGTCGTTGGTCCCGCTCCTCGGCTGTCCCTGTCCTTGTTACCTCTTTCCCCGCCCCCGCCCCCGTCTCCCCCACCGTCATCCTAGGACCTTCCCCGATCGCCACCGTGATCTCGTCACTCGCTCTGCTCACAACTGTAACAGAGTGACCCGCAGCCCAGCACAGGAGCCCCAGCCCCACGGACCGGCTCGTCAGAACCCCCGTCACCCAGGCCGACACCCCTCCCCTGCGGCTGGCTGTCTGTCTGTCTGTAGGTGTACAATGACAAGGGATTTTTCTTCTTCCTGGATGCTCCAAAAGCGTCTAACCAGAGCATAGAGAAACAACCTCCCCAACCCCTTAAGACTCCGCTGGAAGCTCCCCCCGCCCCGCCACGCCGGCTCCAAGTCCCGTTTACCAGGGCTGCACCCGCGGCCCCGCCGGCGGGGCGACCAGGGTGGCCCCAGAGCGGGCCACGGGGTGGGCTCAGCAGCACCCGCCGCGGGCAGCCACGGACGTGCACGGCTTTCCTCTTCCCGCCCTCGCCTCTCTCCAGCCTGGCAGGGCTGTGTCCCTTCGGGCGCTCTTGCCCCCAAGCGCCTGCCTGGGTCCCTGTCTTTCTCTCTGTTGACTTAATTAATTCCTGGTAATTAAAGCGACTGTTTGGTGATGAACTGCTAAGAGTCTGACCTCTCCCAGGGGGGGTGTAAATATCTTCAAGGGGGACTCGGAGTGGAAACGCAAACGCCTCAGACCCGGAGGGAGTGGCGCCGCAGTGGGGCCGGGCCCTGGGGCGCCTATTCTGTGGACAGGTGGCCGCCCTCTCCTGAGGGGCCAGCTGCTCAGAGGGCAGCGTGACAGGGAGACAAGGGGCGATGAGATGACATCATCGCCACCACCTCCTTCCTCCTGAAGGGCCACCGGAGCCACCCTGGGTACCGGAGAACGTTCCCCAGAGGGAACCCCCTGACAATGGCGGGGGGGGGGGCCTGTGTGAAAGTGACGGCCACCCGCGGACAGGAGAGCCCCCGGGGTGAGACACTTCTGGTCTGGAAGCAGAGCATGCTCTAATTGCTTTCT